ACTCTAATTAAAAACAATTTTTTTCACCCATTTCATTGATCCTATAAATGTCCAGTTGAGTCTCCAATTTTGTACACACTTTATGTATTTCAAGGACATGTGATGACGGTCTGTTCAATATAGTATTTTAAAAGGGAAAATGATTTTTATAACACACTATTGCATGATATTGTTGAATATTTAGATAGCAATCAGCTAATTTTATTAAATAATAACAACACATTCGTTATTCATACAACATACCTTTAATGATTTTGTTTGAGATCAGATTGTATGGCTGCATACATTTGGTTTTATTGGCAGGCGTCCTTTGATCTAAGCCTTGAGCCAGTCCATTAATCTTTTAATGTTTGGTAATAAGATAAAACATTTTAATAGTTACCACCCCTTATTTAAGTAGGAGTTTTCTGTTAAGTAGCTTTTGACCTTTCATTAAAGGTTTTTAATCATTTTTATTTTTCAACTACATTGACACACAATTCAATATTAGTTTCAGGAGTACACCATGGCGAGTAGACACTATATAATTTTCTAAGTGATCATCCTGATAAATCTTATACCCATCGGACACCACACATAGATATTGGAATATTATTGACTATATTCCCTATGATGTACTTACCTCCCATTGACTATTCTGTAACAATCAATTCGTACTTCTTAATCTCCTCACCTTTTTCACCCAGTTCCCACTCCCCGCTTATCTGGTGAGAACCAATTTGTTCTCTGAATCTATGAGTTTGTATCCATTTGGCTTGTTAATTTATTTTGATCTTTAGATTCAATTGTTGATGGGTATGTATTTGTAGCTATTTTGTTGTTCAAATTTTTTCTTTTACTTTTTCTTCTTGTGATATTGGAATATTTTTTACTATATTTCCTATGATGTACTTACATCCCATTGACTATTCTGTAACAATCAATTTGTACTTCTTAATCCACTCAAATTTTTCACCCAGCCCCCACTCTGTGCTCATCTGGTGAGAACCAATTTGTTCTATGAATCTATGACTTTGTATCCATTCGGCTTGTATATTTATTTTGTTCTTTATATTCAATTGTTGATGAACATGTATTTATTGCCATTTTATCGCTCATATTTATTTCTCTTCCTCCTCCTCCTCCTCCTCCTCTTCTTCCTTCTTCATCTTCTTCTTCTTCTTCTTCTTCCTCTACTTCTTCCTCCAAAAGACCCTTTAACATTTCATAAAATACTGTTTTGGTGGTAACCTTGGCCCTCCCCTTTCATAGCCCCACCCCAGCTGTTTGAAGCACCTTTTCCCATAAGAATGGCCTGTCCTTGCTCAGGACTCAGACTTTCCTAAAATCTCTCAAACAAGCAGCAGCTGGTGTCCCTGTTCCCCATAACACTCATTAAGAGACTAAAGCCCTGCCATTAGCAGCAGCCTGCCTGGCTTCACCTCTTGGCCTGCCCTGAGCACTTCCAAGGCCAACACAAGTAGCAGCCATCTGCAGATCACTCTGTAGCTCCTCTCAGGTGCCCCAGGAAGTACTTGACTTTACACCTCCCTGGAGGCCCCAGAATGACTGTACCCAGTGAACAGTTTCAGACAATACCAGATTAGAACTCTACATATCCATCAGAGACACACTCAAGGGGCAGACTCAGTGAGCACTAAAGCCACACTGAAGCAAGTCTGGTCCATAAGAGTGCCTCCTGCACAGAAGCTCTTCCATTATAGTCACAGCTGGTCCTTGCAACCAATTGGCGTGGAGGTCAATTCCTCCTAGTGATGCCAATAGCAATCAAGGCTCAACTACAACAAGACAGTGCCCACAGCCCACACATGGGCGCACCTAGAGTGCCCTGCTCAAGTAACTGGGGAGGCCAAGCCACCAGGCCCTACAGGACACCTACTATGCAAGGCCACCCTGCCAATTCCAGGGGACATAGCAGCTCTACATAATACATAGAAACAAACACAGGGGCACAGCCACAATGCAAAGACAAAGAAACATATCGCCAATGAAAAAAAAGGAAGAAATCTCCAGAAAAAGAACTTAATGAAATGGAAACATACAAACTACTAGATACAGAGTTCAAAACC